ACTCCCCTCAAGGTAGGAGGCAGCCATAAGCACTTCCTTGTAAAGCAAGGTCAACTTGCACTTGACGTAGACTGGCACTGACCTCAACCATGTGTTGAGGTCTTCGCCCCTCTTATCCCCTGAAAAGGGTTTAGGCGAGGCGATGACCGTCTTTGGGACCCGCTGACCTTGTCCTGGTACCTGTCCCACTCCGGGCTGTGGACCCTAGGGCGCAAGCTGCTGCACTAACTGATGTTGCGCAGACTGCGAGACAGGAACCTGCGACGGAGGTTGGGAATACACTGTACGTACGGGAACCTGCGACGGAGGTTGGGAATACATTGTATGTACGGGAACCTGCACACTAGGACTTGTTGAGAACCCTCCTGTTAGCGGCATACCTAGGGAAACGGCTTGAACCGATGCTGGAGAGGCATATAGGGATACCCCAATCACCGGTGGGACAAAAGGAGGAGGCTGTATCACGGGCCAGGAACCAGGCCTGATGGTGATGGCGTCGCCTGAGCTCGCCCGACCAACACGGCCAGGCTCTGTTGGATGTCCTGTAAGAGCGCCATTTGGTGATCCTGCATCTCTACTACACCTAGCAAGACCGTCCTCAGGGTCCTCACATCATCGTCCATCTCTGACAGGTCCATCTCCTCTAACTCACTAATATCCGCTTGTCTCCGCTGCATCTTGGCTCTTCTTCTAATCATCTTCTCTTTCTCCGCCTTTATCTCCCCTAAAGCCTTCTGTAGCTGTGCCTCGCGAAGAGCTGCTTTCTGTATGGCGACCTCTTCAGGAGTCAACACTATTGGTTGGCTTGCCATAACGCCAGTGGTCTGACTCAAGGTCTGTGCAATCGTCGACCCTACGGACCCTGAACTGCTGGCCTGGGAACTTTGCTGCGCAGCAGTTGCCATGGCTGCTGAAGCAGCGGCTTCGCTTGCGAACGCCCTGCTGGCCTCTGCTTCCCTAGCTCTCCGCTGCTGCTGCTGTCTCTCCCTAAGCTGGTGGAACAGTAACATATCACCCTCGGGTCCTAATGCCACGTGGGCTATAGGGCGTCTAGCCGATCGCAAGATCATGTCGTCCTCGCTAGTGGTCTCCCTGTCGCTCATAAGATACAAAATTATACAAAAACTACACTAGGTCACACTCGATGCCTACCGCAGCGTAGTGCACAGACCGATTTAAAATAATAAAAATAATCAATCGGTGGCTAAGTCAGAGTATATACACTTGGGTTCAACAGGTAAGTTCAGATTCCTACAAACGAAACTACTTTTACTTAAACAGTCCACGAACAAAGAGCAGATCTAACTATTGTTGTCTGTTAGATGTCAATGGCAGTCCATCGAACTAATCAAGAATAAAAATAGAATTGTCTGTGAGGATATTGGCAGAATGGAATTGACACGAACTTATCACCCGGAATCTACCCCTCCCTCAATTCCTCTTGATGGTCACTTGACGCCAGTGTCCCTGAGCGATCCAGAATAGCATTCGTGTCTAAAGGTGTGCATACAACCCGCCCCTGTGCCCAGAGTGTATGCTGAGCTGGCCAGCCCTGCACATTGTTTATCCTCGCGTGCAGCGAGCCTTACACCGACCGATTTGCTGATCAGAAGGCGTTTAAGGACGGCCCCCGCAGTCCTCAGGAATTCTTTAACGCCGCAGAGACGACGACGATCACAGCCAATGGAAGGTACCCCGCCGGTGTTTATTTATAGACGCCCGGTTCTCGTCTCCCCTGTAGGGCTGGCCTGCCCCTCATAACCCATCTATAAGCGCAGCGAGCAAACAAAGGACAAAGCAGCAAAGCATGTGTGCTCTACTCCCGGTGGGTTGGCATGGTGACTGTGACGCAGTGCTTTGTCTAGGGCCCTTCAGATAGCTCCGCCCTCTCCTTCCAGATGCTCCAAGTGAACAATACCGACTCTCAAGGTTGAGTGCACTCGACTCCTCACATGAGAGGACTCTCAAGACAGAACACACATCCTCACGGTAAGAAGTGTCGAAGAGGGTAGATAAGGTTAGGTGCAACGTACCTCAAAATAGCTGCCCCCAACCACAGATATTCTCACCAGATGACCTGATGCCGACTGTGATGACCAATCGCTGCTTCGGCACAACCAGCATTACACCGCTGTTCCACCTCGGCATTAATCGCACATCAGATAGTTCTCATCATACTGCGAACACCCACCATTCACCTTGTAGCCTTCCTGGCGATACCCCTCACCTCCTGGGTCGCCTGCTTGCCTTCGCCCTCCTCACTACACACTCACAATGGCCGCTCTCCTAGCAGACCGCATGCATGTACCGCATAGACAGAAGACACCACAGCTCCGATACCAAATTGCAAGGAAAATGAGCGATAGCGAACTTCAGAAAACCAAGTAGCATCATACACATGTGACCAGATGGTCGTGACCTCGAACCAAAAGCAGATTTGCAACACAAGTCTCACCAAATAAGAGCACAGCAAAAGCTCATAAGTGACAATGTTGGAATAGTCTCATCATCATCAACAAAGAACCAATGTTGACTTCCTATCTGGCGCTCTGCGCCCAGACTACAAATGGCAGATCCTATCTAGCCTATCTACAATGTCGCTGGTGACGTCAACAGCTCCCCGAGGTACGAGCAGATCTCGGCCAATGCCGTTCGCCTCAAGCACCAGGTATGTCTCTCGTATCACTCACAACCTCGATCCCCCACTCACAGATGCCACATGCACCCAAGGACCACCATGCGCCTCATCCAGCATACAGCAGCGCAGCTCGGCTATGGCTGCCTGCTCATCTAGCTCGCCCGTGAGCGTGTGAGCGCTGGCCAGCGTCAGTGCAGCAGCGCTTGCGCAGCATGCAGCCAGTGCCCGAATGAGGAGTGCTGGGGAAGGCACTTTCCTAAATGGAAGTGACCTGCCTGCTGCGTGCGGCCTGCCTGCACTGGGCCTCGGTCCAGAAGCTTCCAGTACGCCCCGTGAGGCTGAGCCCCAGTCCGAACGAATCAGGCCCAGGGCCTGTGGTGGTTACCCCTGCCCAACTGCCCGTAGCCTGTGTTCGGCCCATGTTGCGTATCTGGCCCAGGGTGTTACGGACTCCGCCAGGGCTCGATCCCTGGTCTATCTTTTTGCTGTTTCTGCTGCATCCCATTTTCGGCCTGGCACCCTTTTTCCCAAACCCCTCCTTCGGTACCGTCGGATTTTGGACAACTGGCGCCATGCTGCAATTCGGGCGCCACTTTCAAATAGCGCATTTTTCAGTTCTGCCCTCAGGGCTTTTGCGGAAATGCCCCTGGTACCGTACGTGTCACCGGTACTTATACCGGCTCCCCGTACAGTACGGGGACCAGTCTCGGACCAGTTTTCAGCTGCTGTACTCGTACCCAGTGTGACTTGCCCGTGTTTCCGCATTCGGAACCCAAGACTTCGACTTTGTGTCTTTGCCACTGTGTCTGCGTCCGTCGAGTCCCTCAGTCGTGTCAAGTGAGTGAGTGTGTGTGTGTGCTCTCACTCTCTCTCTCTCTCTCTCTCCTCTCCCTCGGCTCTCCCTGTCTCCCTCAGCCTCGCACTCGTTACACAGGGCCTGCCTTAGTTACATACGAGAAAGGCAGCCTGGACCTGGGCGCTCTCAACCAACTAATGCTGCGCAACTGCCTGAATTTTCCCCAGTTGTGTGGTAGTCCAAAATAGGCCTAGGTCGGGCCTGCCTTCACTTAGGGCGGCCGACCTTACAGATGACAGGGCCCAGTAGGGCATACCGAGGCCTTGTGCCTCGCACATGCGAACGAACCAAACAAAATCGATCATCAGCCATCACTGATCATCAGCAAACCGCCAATCAGTTGCAAATAAACCAATCAATTACTTGTCATTACCAATCAACAACACAATGTGATAACCTGCAAAATTGCAGACTGTGAAACCTGCTGTTTTCTGAGAAATACTGCTTGCTGCTGGACCGATTTGCTGCGACTTCCATGTTCTGTTGTGATTTGCTGTGTCTTTTGAGTGTGTGTGTGTGTGACGTAACAGGCAGCTACGAAACTGGGGGTTCTCCTAATCTCTGCACCTGTGAGAAACTGGGTAAGAGAAAGGTCAAGGGTTGAATACCTGATGGATACACTAATAATAAGTTAATAACCCTTTTTTTTTTTTTTTTTTTTTCCCCCCCTTTCCTCTCAGGTCCCTCAACCTCAACTAATCAAGGGATTCAGGGTTAAGAGTCGAAGGAAGGTTTTAGGGGTTAAGGGTTATAGTCGGGTGAAAACAGGGAGAGTTTTAGGGTATAGGAGAGGTAATTTCTAACTGGACGTCTTGGAACAGATAAATCAGGACAGCACTAAGACCAAGGGTTTAGGGTTTAGGGCTTAGACAGAAACAAGGCAAATGCTGTTATAGAGTTATAGAGGCTTCAAAAGGCAAGTGTTCCAGAATGCTCTTGCATAATCATAGCTAACTAACTGCTTCATAGCTGAGAGGAGCAGATCTGGGATCAGACAGATTGGCAGGCAGAGTTAGTACAGGCTAGATTAGGCAGGGGGGAGAGGTGGCACATCCTTCCTCAGGGAAGTAATCAATGCTGCCCACTCGGGCCTCTCAGCCATAATGGGGGGGAGCGTGTGTGAGTCTTTTATGTAATCCATATTGACTTGCCGGGGGAATAGGAACCGGACTGTCGCTCCCCAGAATGGTAGAAGCCAGAACCGTGAGGTTCTGTTTAAAAAAAA